TGGGAAGGGACAGTGGAGAAGATCAGTATCAGCTGCTGAAACCAGGCTGGGGGCTGACTGTGGAACAGACCATCAGTGCTCATATGTCAGTTCAGGTTCAAGCCGACAAAAAATTAAAGCAAGATATTTAGAGACAAAATGTGACTTGACTATATTCCACCTGCATTTTGAGAAAATGTCAAGTCCAGATTTGCTGTATTAAATACTAATGACAGACAGAAGACCTGATGAGCTGTTGGGATGACATCAAGAACATCATTCATGGAAAAAGACAGGAAAGAAAGAAAAGAGAAAGTAGGCATTAGAAGAGACTCCGAAACTCGCTCTTACTCATAGAGTAGGTAAGGCAAATGGAAGAAGCGATGATATTGAAGAGGTGAACCGAGAGTTTCAATGGGCAGCTCCAGAAGACAAAGTCAATATGATACTGAAATGTGCAAAGATCTAGAGGTAGAACAATGCTCAACAAATAGTGTGGAGGAAACACTTTGAGGCTCTATAAATATCCTGCTGTGGCTTAAAGTTTCTTGCCACTAATTTTAGCCTTCATTCATGGAGTTTGCCATCTAGTGACCCTGTCTTATCCATAAAGGCACTTGAGCCAAATACTGGTCTATATCGGCAATCTCGGGTTTTCTCCTGCTAGCCTGACCCTGGGATAATTTGGGATCTGTCGAGGCAGGCACTGTTTCAGAGGTACCTGGAAGGATTTCTTTCAAAGCAGGAGATAGTTTTCCCTTGATTGCGGCTTCCTGAAATCACTGTCATGTGGTCAGAACAAAGCTTGTCATTTCAAGCAGGGGGTAAAACAGACACAACCTGCTCCACAGGGCCCTCCTCCCTCTGTGGTTCACTGATCGACCCAGACCCGGAATTCCCCCATTAGGATGAATCATGCCACCTCGTTTTTGTGGCATCTTCTCTGCCCCTGGCACAGGCTGTGACAGGTTTTCCCAGTACTTCCAGAGGGAGACCTGTCTCGTGTGACCATGTGACCCTTCCTAAGAACAAGCCTGGTTGCGTCAGGCCTACCTTACCTGCCTGGGTTCCTCTGTTATCAAATTCACTCCAACGCTTATACCGAAGGACTGGGCAGTGACGGTCTGTGGTTAAAGGGGGTTCAAAAGTCAAAGGGGGAGCATAGCAGAAACAGCCACCAGAGTCTGATCCTGGTGGAGTCATGTTTGTCTGAGTCAGTTTTTGCTTTTCTTTGCGCACACCCTCTCTTGAATTCCCATGAGCTTTTGATGACTCATTGGACGCACTGTGTGGCTCACTTCATACATGGCTTAACAGCCCACCCGGTCAGCAAACAGCTTCTCTGCAGGCAGCCGACGGCATGCCAGGATGACTGACAACTGCTCAAAGTCTACCAAAAGCACAGCGCTACCCAGAGCATATTGGGAAATGCGTATAGACACTTGAAAGGCTAATGTGGACCTCTGTGTCTTAATCCAGTGTATTTACATGGAAAAAAAATGACTTCATGCAATTGATTACTGGGAAAAATAAACATATCGGAGTCACCTTTTATAAGGCATCCACTAAACATTTACAAAGCCATTGCTTTGTAAACAGTTTCTCTATATTTGGGCTTTTGCTATATATCATCAGAGACATATATCGCCAGAAATTAGATTGTTTCCTTTCAACCTGTCAAAGCTGAATATGAAAGTGCCTAGGAAATGAACAACCACACAGGGCTGAATTCCTGCCTGGAGGCACTCGGCATTGTAAGAGTTGAGATTTTAAAAAGAGCGCCTGTGGAATGACTGCATCACAGAAAGAGGTTCTTAAAGTCACAATAGGAACATCTTTTGA